CTGCTGAACAGCAACGCTCATGCACGCTGCACCCCACCATGCTACGGAGGTGGAGGACCATCTACTTCTGGTGGTCGAGACACCATGTGGCATGTGTTCAGTTCTCTTCCCAGCGAGGACTGGTATCCTGAGACAGTGTCCACACTTAGTTTTTTTCAGACGTCATTATGATTTTTAAGCATACAGTGAAAAATACGCACTTTTTCTCCCCATCTACCAGGAGAATGAGAAAATAACTCCATACTGGGTTCAGAACAAACTAGTACAAATTGCACATCCTGCATCATTCCCAAGGAGCCAAACTCTCTTATTTCCAAAGAGGAGGATCCAAAAACATCAAACGAGCCAGGTCCATCCCACCGGCCATGGGTGATCCTGAGTGGCCCCATGCTCTGAACCCTGGGGGTGCTGGGGCTGCCTGTGGGCACGGGCACAGCCCAGCTCCTCTCCAAGCTCCACCCTCAGCTTCCAGCACAGTGTCCAACATTTTGGCAAGACATACTGCAAGCGATTTAAATACTTATTATAATAATAAAAATCCTTTAACATGTTTACTGCAGGGAACTACAAGTATTTTGTGAGGGTTTAAAAGTTTCAGGTCAAATTAAGCACAATCAAAAGCGTTCTTATATTAAAATAAAGCATCCCTGCAAGGTGTCGGTGTTTCAGTAGGACATTGATCACAAAAGTTTCACTATTCCACAAATAGAGACAGTTTCCACCTGTTTAAAAATGCATTAAAAGCAGTAATTATGTCTTCTAATGCTATTTTCTTGCTTCCACTCTAGGTTCCCATACACCTTAGCTAGTTGGGGAACAACACTAAGCAGTTTAATAAATTACAAATAATGGGGAAACTTTTTATGGCTAGTTTTTTTGGGGAGTTATTTTTAGTTGGGGTTTTTTGGGGTTTGGTTTTTTGTTTTTGTTGCCTCCACCAGAGCCTGAAAAGCCAGCTGCCCCAGCTCCGGTGCAGGGCAGGACACCCCCTGCCAGCCCCTTGCCTGCACCCACCTGCCTGGGCCATGGCAGCCGAGGCTCCTGCACAGCAGCACACCACGGGCATTTCATAAGCAAGGCAAAAATCCTCAAGGAAAAAAAAAAACCAAAACAAAACCCCAAACAAACAAAAAAGCCAATCGCCTTCCCCCAACCAGGCTTAGAACTAGTTAAATAACACAAACCAAGAATTACAGCAGGCCAGCTTTAATTTATCTACATTAATTCCTCCACAAATGCAGGCACTTTTGAGAGAAACCGCGTTGTTAATGACATCTTTAAAATTACCTGTTCTTGGGAACCAGGCACACAGCCTGTGCAATGTGTCATGTATGTCAGCATGGTGTGATGAGTTTGATGTCATGGTCTAAAATTAAAATCTCTTTTGCTTGTGACTATCATCAATATTAGAGAAGACATTGAAGGCATTTCCTCATATCAAAGAACAACAACACTCATTCCCTTAACAACAAGGAACCAAAAAAGAGCAAGCAGCAATTTCTACGTGTTCACACATGGCCATTACAGCACCTGAATTTCCAAGGTTAGACAAATATTTTAAGTCAACGCAAGACGTCTTGGTTACACGGAGCCCAACGCCTTCCTAGGTTAATTTGGACAGGGTAACAGACCATGATTTACAGGGACACACTGAGAGGCAGTCCAATTTCTGCCTGTCATCTCGGGAACGCCAGGGAGCTGCCTGGTTAGCATGCCGGCAGCACTGCAAGCCCAGCGCTGGATGCGGCTCTGCACAGCCCTCGCCGAGGTGAGCCCTTCTGCCTCAGCCAATAGGCCATTACAAAAAAAATACAGAATATTTTGATCTTGTTGGCCCTGAAGTACCTATTCTGAAAAAAAAACCAAAACAAAAACCCAAACATCTTCTTTTCCCTGCATCTTACTCCACAAGGCATTAAAAAAAAAAAAAAGAGGAGCTTTACATACAGCTGAGACAAACGACATAGGTTAAAATTTATTTAACAAATGCCCAGGGGCTTTTCCCACACACGATCAAACGCACAGTCTCACAACACTCCCTGAAGTATCTTATGCCTGGAGCCCATATTTCCTTCTTGTTTCCTTTTTTATTCCAGTAAGCCTCAATCCAGCATCCCCTCTCCTCATCCTCAGAGCCTGCATCTTCAAAACAGTGACACTACGTGGCAAAAATTACCTTAAGTTCAAATATCCTTGCTTCCCACTGAAAAGATGCTCATCCATACAGCTACGCTGTAAAAACCATAGAATTCCACCTATCATTGACAGGCTTCACAGCCCCCAGTCTGTATGTACAGATAACACTTAAATTCATCCTCTGTGCATCATGTCAGGCTGAGGAAATGGGTTTCCAAGCAGAGGATATAATAATACTTAAGGGACCTTAATGGCAACCAAGCCGCGCCGGCCTGGGTTCCCTTTCCCTGCCCAGGCTGCCGCCTTGCCAGCCGGAGGAACCAGCGGCTCTGCCAGTTAACCGGGCGTTTGCATACCCTGAACTGCCTACACAGGGCTGGGGATGGAATTGCAAATAATGTGATGAGCTTGATATTATATCACCATCCGCCAGCTTGCCAGCTCGCCGGCAGTGGGCAGGGTGCTTCAGTTTGATTAGGATTAGGGGGAGGGGAAGATTTTATTTTTATTATTATTTTTATTTTATTTTCTTAAAATGGAAAAGGATTCACACACACAGGTTCAGTGCATCCTCCTTCCTCCACCATTGCTTTTAAAACTCTAGCGATCCCGAAAGACATACTCAGATCATCACCTACCTTCCATCATGGTGGCAGAATTGCATTCCTCAATTTCCAAGGAGCCTGAAAAAATACAGGAGAATACGATCCCAGTTACCAGATGCTTAATGTAAGCCTTTCAATCAAATGCCTCTGATCCCCAGCTTGCTTAGCTGCCAGAATAACAAGGGAGAAAAAAAAAAGGTGCTGAAGCTAACGGCAGGCCATGGATGCTGCTGTGCCTGTATCACCTCCAGGATCACCGGAGGATGCTGAGAGAAAGGGAGGACGAGCCGGGCTCGGCTCCGATGCTGCCAGCGGCGCAGCGGGTCCCTCCCGCCCCGCACCTCCTCACATGCGCGCTCGCTCCCAACACACCCCCACTGGGAACGCACCAACCTATTTCCCATTTCCCCCACACACACTTTCACCAAAAGCATAACCCCTCTTCGTACCTCGTGACGCACTTCCCCTCCCTCTAATCCTATTGCAGCGGCTGGAGGAGCCAGATTAATTACCAGGCGCTGTCAGATTAGACCGGCTGGGAAGGGGGGAAAAAAAAAAAAATAAATCCAGCCTGGATAAGGCAGCAGAGCTTGCGCCAGTAGCGAGCTTCGGCATGCTCAGCAAGCAGAAGGGCTGCGAGCTCAGATGCACATCCACGGGCGCCGGGCCCTCCTTGCCTCTCCCGCAGCCATTCAAGAGAGAAATCCATCGAGCTGACGTCACATCACCAGCAATTAGCCCTGAAAGGATGATGCGGGAGAAATTGCTCCCCGATTGCCTTCCAGGAGCGCCTGGGAATTAATTTTGCGTGAAGAGCAGCTGAAGCATCACCAGAGTGGGGAACAAAAGAGGCTGGGGGGGGGGGGGGGGGGCAACGGTGGCCCCCACACTGCCTGAGACACCCCCCACCTCCCATCACCGCAGCCAGCAGCAGCTGGTGCCACCTCTGCCCTATGAGATGCCCCCCAAGCCAGATGCTACAAGCCCGTCCCAGCAAACTGCCACGTCCCCCTATTTCTCTCTGCTAGCCATGACATCCAGCCCCCCCGGCAAAGAGCCTCACCACAGTCAGCCCCCCAATGGGGTGCATGACCCTCACCAGCTTGAAAACCATTTCTCAGAGCTGCTACAAGGGCAGGGGGGAGTTTGGCTTGAGGTGACAGGCAATGGAGTTACACGGGACACTACTAGGACTACCCCAGCAAATGTGTGAGATACAAAATTGGTTCTGGCAAAATTGGCTTTAACCAGCTCCAAAACTTCAGTTACGTTATTTTTTTTGCTGGCAGGAAAGATGCTTTAAAACCCCTTACACTTGCACCGAAGTAGTCCCCATGCACAGCTGCAAGAACAGGAGCTGTGTCCCTGGCGTGCTCATCTGAAACAGCACCCACCGCTGCAAGGGACAGCAGGGACAGCCCCGTCCCAGAGGCAGAGGACACCCAGGCCGGGGGCACACATGGGTCTGTCCCTGAGGCTACCACCGCAGCTCAGCACCCAGCAAAGACGGGGATTATGACCATCAGCACCAACCTGCAAGCGTGGAGGAGCTGCCTCCCCCCACATCTGCTCCCCGCCAGGCACAACAGCAGCGTTTCGGCCCAACCAGCCCGTTTCAGCACTCTCAAATGCAGCTTTTCAGCATGACCTTGTATCGGTGATGGAAACTTAACTTCTGCCTCTCACCCTTCATCACCAACTTTAGGACTCACCCCAGTCAACCCCATGCATTTCTCAGGACTTCACCCTGCTCACAAGCAGGGAGAGCAATACCTGCATCATTTTTCCCATTAAAAAATAATTCCCATTTTTTTTCCCATTAAAAAAAAAAATCCCATCTTTCACATTAAAAAAAAAAAATCTAAAAACAAAGCACCTCCAGGGTTCAGTTACACCAGTGGGGAAATGAGCTTCAACACCACATCATCAGCTCCAGCGTCGAGAGTCCCCAGCCCCAAAGCAGCAAGCTGCAGCCCTCACCCATCCCAGCCAGCAAGAAACACCGCCACACACCCAAGTGGAGGGACAGGATTATTTAACAGATGGTTTGTTTAATCCCTGCAAGGAGCTCCTGCAACCTGCCTCAGCTGCCTGCACTTTCAGCACAGGCAGCGGAGTTGCAGGGAAGAGTGCCCAGCACCTTTGGGAAATGCATTTGTAATCCCAGGGAGAGCACAATGCACTGAACATTGCTCCGCTGCCCCCACAGACCAGCCCCAAAACGTCCCAAGGAACCGGGCTGGCACACATGGCAGGACACCCAGGTGATGACCACACACCTGCCGTGTCCAAATCCCTCCCGGACACACCGAAATAACACTTATCTTCTGAAATTCATATAGCTGTTTCACAGCATGGCACGGTGCTGCCACAGCCATCCTGCATCCCAGCAGCTCTGCTTCCAGCCAGGACAGACCTGCCAGCCCACCTCCCACGGCTCTCATGATGCTCCCCAGCAGCCCTTACATTCCTTAAACAAACAAGAAGAGCTGTAACTTCGCCTGCAAACCCCGCTCCCAAGCTGGGCAATGGGTTAAATAAGTTCTCTTTACCAAATTCCTCCATCTTGGTGCCGAGTTACGGCAGCCTCTATGTTGCACCAACATATACTGCATTAGCACAGGTGGGAAACCCATGGGTTATTGCTAACTGCAGCACAGCTCCAGCTTTGGTCGGCTCTGCAGGATGTCTCAACCTTATGAAATAATTCTTGTCAAGTGGAAAAACCAAAATTCATCTTCCTGAGGGCAAAATTAACCCCACGCTAATGACACCATGAACCAGCTCCCTCCACAGGCCCTTCCCAAAGCTGGGAGGCACAGGGAGAGCTGGGCAAGCCTCTCTCATTTCAAGGTAAAATTGATATTTAAAGATTTCCAAATGATTTCCAACCACACTAGCTGACACATGGACATTTCTCAGCAAAAGTGCTGGAAATCTCAGGTGGCTCCTGAAGGATACGCATTAGGAGGCTGCAAGTAAACATCAAGAGACAAAGTCAACGGCCTTAAAAAAAAAAAGGCAGAAAATGAGTCACCAGAGTGCATTACTCATATCCGAGCAGAGTCATGCTTTAGGTACATGTGACAGGCGCCGCGGGAGCGGAGGAGCCCAGCTCGTTCCCCGGCCGGCCGGGGACAGAGTGCCCCCGGGGCAGGCGAGGAGCGTGGGGCGCAGCGCGGACGGGGATTTGCTAAATAAAGCTCCAATCCGCCAGCCTCATCCCTGCACAGGATCTGGCCCTGGCAAATCCCCCAGCATTAACGGCGGTAACGGGCAGCCGGTGGATTGTTTACATCTCCGTGTACATGGCTCCACAACCCTTTCGCTAAACCATAATGAAACCTTTACTAAAAATAAGCTCATCCATTTATCTGTTCTAGGTGGAAACACAGTGGATGAGGCCAGACCCCCTGGCAGCCTCGTTACCGATAGCTCCCATCACTACACGGCACTGGGGATTTCTCCCCCATCACCTGCAAAATAGACTTTCCAACAGAGTTCAACCATTTGCCTCTTCCCCCATAAAATTAGATTCTTCCATGCGGGGCGCTGGAAGTCGGTGTGCGTTTGCTGGAGGTTATAAATCCTGGGATGCAGGAGTCTCACTGCAAACGCAGATGTTTGGTCTTTGCTGTAGGACAGCTAAAGACAAACCCAAACCCTTGCATAGGCTGCCATCTGGGCTCTGATAAAGTGACACATTTACAAGATTCTTTCCTCAAAAGGCTTCTCCCTACCAGGGGAGGAGGCTGGGAGACGCAGGGCCCCACCAGCAGCATCTCGCCCAAGTCTCCAGTGAGCTCAGGAGGGTGCAGAGGCAGATCAGCCCATCAGCTGGGTCCCGAGCACCAAATGGGCTCACACAACCTTCTTGGAAATGTTGCTGCCTGTGAAGCTGAGCTGAAAAAAGCCCTGAGATGCTTCTGGGCTCAACCACCCTGCATCGTGTTTTGCCCAGCCAGAGCATTGCACATGCATTCACGGTCCCTGGCGGGAGCAGGGCTGGACCAGCTCGCAGGAGCTCACAGGAATGAGCCCTGCCAGCCACTGGGCCCCATCTCATCCCTTCTTGCCCATCAGAAGGAGCTTGCTGCCACCACCCCGGGCAGGAGCACCGGGCACACCAGGCTACCACAGCCTGCCCTGGCCAGGGCTGGAAGGAGAGGAGCAGCGCCCACCCGCATCCCCACACATCTCCAGGCACAGGGCCCCTTTCAGGCCGCAGCTGCTCCTCGCTCCACAATAAAGCCCGTTACCTTCTGCTCTATTAGTTTTTTTGCTCTATTCATCCTGGGTTTTCCCATGCACAAAGAGCTGCTGGGCCCTTTCCATCTCAGTGAGCTGTTCTGAGGAGAGACGCGAGAGCGAGCCCTGGCCCGCAGTGCCATAGCCCTTCGGGGATGCACGCTCAGAGAGGCAGGAGAGCCGGATGGGGCGCCTGCTTTCCCAGCAGTGCCAGGGGAAACGTGCTTATCCTGCCTTTAAAGAGAGACTCAATGCACTCGGCTCTCCTCCGGGTACAGAGAACAGCAAATCTTTGGAAGCTCACTGGGGATGCAACAGGAGCAGAGCACAGCACCCGCTGTGCCCCCAGCCTCCCCCAGCCTTGCCAGCCCCGCTCCTGCCCACGCTTCTCCATGTGCTGCCTCTTGTCTTCCCCCAATGCCTGCCCCCACTGGCACACAAGGAGACAGCCCCGGGGGCACACAACCGCAGCCAGCCTCCAGGGAGCACCCTGCAAAATGCTCTGCACCTTGCCAAGCACCCCCCAAAGCACCCAGCCCAGGCTGAGAACCAGCACAGCAAGCCATCCCCCTAATCACAACCACAGCACAAGTCATAACAGAGTTGGGAATGGGCAGCAGTTCCCCTGAAACCAAAGAGTGTCTCATAGGACCGATTGTCTCCATCACCAGGCACGAGCGGGACATGGGGCACAGACGGCAGCAGGCACCCATGTGCTGGAGCCTGCAGGCCTGCTCAGTGCCCCCAAAACTCACATTTTGCCGAGCAGGGCCCCTCAGCCGAGCGGCAGCCGGG